AGCTGGTACCTTATGATGTCACAATGTGTGTTTGTTTAGCGGCTTTGCCCTCTGTCTGCCAGGCAATGCCTCCTTTTTCCAGTAGGAAATGGGAGTCTAGTTAAACTCTGGTAGGGGGTGACTTGCTCTTTAAGATCAGCAAAACATCTGTTGAGTTCCTTTTGTACTCGTAAAGTAAAATTTCCATGTTTGAAAACTTGAACATGTGGACACAAGTTTTTGGTCCATAAGCTAGAACAGCTGATCGGTCATGTGATTGTTCTTCCTGAGGTGTGTTGTGTTCCGTAGAGCAGAAACTCTAGAAGCATCATTCCTGGCTGGATGAGCCGCTCCTACAACAGCACCATTGTTTCAGGAGTATTTATGGAGCTGCTGGTGAACCGCTGGTTCTCCGTTTATATTTGGCTGGGTGATGATTCCGGGTAGTGCACGGTGGAGCGGTAATTCTGACCGTCTGGGTGCCACCCACAGGCAGCCCGCCCCTCCTCCCAGTTATCCCAGTTGCGTGGTGCAGATGGTGTTTGTGGGGCAGCAGCAGTCCTCACACGTGTTTTTAGCTTGTAGAAGAATCTGCTCCATCATGACTACAAAGGTCAGAACCACCATGTTTACAGTTTGGTTCCTGAGAGACGCGTAACTTCCCACCACCACCACCTTATTCTGGAATGTGACCTCCGGTGATCTTGACTGGCCCTCTCAGGGATTTTGCACACTTGGAGGGATTTCAATAGATCCCAAGGGCCTTTTCATAGGGGACGCTTCTTTATAGCTCGACCTCGTGTGGGTACACCTACAGCTTTCCCAGCAAAACATTTTCCAGCTTTACAAATGAGCTCCAGATTGTCCTCCTCAGCCACCATTCACGCTCCCATCTCTTCTTTTTATCCTGCCCTTTGAAGGATACGTAGCCTCTGAGCCTAGACACAGCTCCCCCCACAGCCTTTTTATCTCCTGCTGAGGTCATTGTTGGAATGTGGGTTCGACGTTCCCTTCTATTCGATAACAATGTTCTTCTACCTGACAAAGGAGCGTGTTCTGAATGTAGAGAGCGGTTTTCCAAGCCTCAGGCATGATTGGAATGTTTTGATGTGAGGACTGAGTCAGATTTCCTACCCGCTGCATTCTGAAGGGAAGATATTCCTTCCTTTGGCCAAGTCTGCTCTGCAGAAACCCATGTTGGCTTTTACCGGGTCAACTTCTTGGAACAGTTTCCACTTGGTTCTGGAGAGACGGGCTCTGACAAACCTGCATCAGGTACAGTTTTCTGTCCTATAGATGCAAGTCACAACGAGTCCTCTACACTTCGGGATGAAGGTGGGGAAAACCACCGGGTAAACTGTGGAGCTGATGGGTAAAAGTCGTGACTCTGTAAAAGTAAAACCCTCTTTGGTTGGGAGTTGACCCGAAAAACTGGGCTTGTTGGGTCCGTTTTGGTGCATGCTGTTGGAGTGAGGCTGGTTTTGCATTTATCCTTCAGATCATTAGCAAGAGAATAGGGCAGGTCTTTTTAAGGAAGTGGTCTCTTTTGCATGACGGGGTGCTGAGAAAGGCTGCTGGGAAGGAGGGAGCATGATAAATGGTATGACTGGGATGTAATAATGGTTCCTGCATTGCTGTCTGCTGGTCTATAAAATCTCTTTGGGCTCAGGAATGTTGGCAGAGAGAGAGAAGGTTTGTTCTTCCTGCCTGGGCTGGCGGCAATCCGATCGGATCTGCCTCCACCCCCCCTCCTGCCACTGCATGCTCCAGCAGGAACTATGAACCCCCACCTGATGATGACATCAGAGCTGTTTTAAACCAGCTTTTGATAAATGATCATTGTTTGTTTTAATGTTTGAAGCAGTTTTATTCAGGAAGCAGACCTGGGATCAGCTGCTTCTGCAGCAGGTGTAACATCCCTGCTGCTCCCAGCCTCATGATGGTTCCTTCAGATTAGAGCTGAAACAACTAATCGATTTAATCGATTATAATCGATTATTAAAATAGTTAACAACTTTTTTAGTCATCGATTAGTTGTTTAATAATCATATTTTACCGCATAAAGTTTATTTTTTTACCACAATCTGACATAGGTTACAATCTGTTAAATTTGCCACCAGTGTGTGACAGTAATGAGCCACTGATCTACCAGTGGAGCCGTAGAAGAAGAAATGAGCCAGTAAGTGCCCTCGGTTTTCATGACGTATCACGTTACTGACGCTCATCTTGCTGTGAGAGATGGCGGATCAACAAGAAATACGGAAGAAAAATAGAAGCGACAAAACTGAAGAGAAACCCCGGACAAAAACCTCACGAGTATGGGAGCACTTCACTAGATGCCTTGAAAAGACCGGTGACCTGCAAAATATGCAAAAACCATGGCACGACGTCCCTAAGTGAACATTTGAGACGAAAACGTGGGGGCTGATGCAGCAGAGGAATGTCCGGTAAGTAACAGAAAATAAACAAGCTAACGCAGATCAAATTTGGGACTTAGTGTTAGCTGAGTTCGTTATAGTGGATGTTAAACATGTTTTTTTTGCCGCGTCAGTTTACGGTGTTCTACTTCTGATTGACTAGATGCAATCGTGAATCTCCTCCGTGTTGTGTATCATGCGCTTGCCAAATTTAGCACGTCTGTTTATAAGAATGTTCTCGTTAAGAGAAAAACGGCACAAACCCATAACTATGTTCCTCATTCAAAAAAGGACAACTCCGCGGAGAAAAATATACAGACGAGCTGTGTCAAGGTGAATATAACGCGGCATAGTTGTACGCTTTCAATTTTTAAATACAGGAGAAATTCAGAAAGTCCTTTTTTTAACTATTAAAAGGCTGTTTTACTATCTAACGCTGTAAAACGCCTCACAACACATTTTTGTCAAAATAAATGATTACTGTATATTGTTAATTAATTCAAATAATGTAATATTGATTTAGTGTTGTAGTGTGTGTGCTGCTTTATTTTATATGTGTACTTAATTCAGTGTATTTGTGTTTCTTATGCAGAAAAAAACAAGCAACGATGGACAACTACATGGGGAACAAGACACTCACCCCCAGCAATGCATACCACTTACAAACTCTATTCTAGATTCTACATTATTTTTTTATGGAATTTACCTCTTATATTTTGATGCCAAAAAATTATTCTGGACTGATATTTTGCACAGTTTAGCTCATTTTACACCGCTGACTGTATTCATGTGCAATAAAATAGATTGCAGTCAACTGCACAATTCTCTTATGTTTTTCTTTTTCTTAACTGAAATGTATTCATCACTTGTACAGGTTAAATAGCTAAACAATAACAAACCGATTAATCGAAAAAATAATCGACAGATTAATCGATTATGAAAATAATCGTTAGTTGCAGCCCTACTTCAGATCATTCTGTTTCAGATCTGCTGAACCACCTGTCAACAGGTCCAGTCCAGGTCCAAAAGCAGCCATGTTTGTCTGGTTCCGTTTCAGCAGAATGGGTTTGCTTCATTTACTATAGTTCTGTCTGTTCTGCGTGATCTGGGATTTAGACCAGAAATTCTTCACTGGGTCTCTGGAAACGGCCAAAATCTGGCTTGTTTGTGTTTGAGCTGTGTAATGTACACATCAGCGAGCCTTTGGTCGTTTTTACGTGGTCCGACCATGGCAGTGACGTGCAAATCTTTTTACTAAAAGTTACACGATAGCGGTATGGGGCAGTCTCTCGCTGGCGACAACGCGCCATGCCTGAACCCGTGTAGAGGGAACGCTGTGACTGAGAACAAAACTCAATAAAACAGACATCAAATGATCATATTAGTCTGTTTCCTGTCCAGCTCTTTTCTGTTATGTTTGTAAGTGGGAGCTGATAGTTCCCCTGGCTGTCTGCTGGTCTCTCCTAGAGGATAATGTTCTGTATTACAGAACCAAGAACTGGGTCAGGGGGTTTTATCTGTCGGTGGAGGTTCCTCCGAGCCTCATGTGGAGCTGGTAGCTGGAAACGAGGCTATAGATAGACGGACCAAGGTAGAAGGAATCTAGAGCTCGGCTGTTAGCAAAAGGTGCGTGTGTGCGCGCATGTGTGTGTGTGTGCGTGTGTACTGGTCCTCCTCTGTCTCGTGTGAATGGACCAGATGTCCCGCTTTGCTCCGGCAGATGGACGGATTGTTTCTGGCTGTAATGAAGGCATCGTCCCGGTTACAGCCATCATTAATATGCTGGTGAGGCGTTTGCCTGCTTTGTGGACTGGACGGATGTCCCCACTCCAGAAACACCAGGGAGATGGGGGGACGGTGTGGAGTCTGATAAAAGTGTCGCTGGTACCTTTAAATGTAATAATTCAGCCTAAAAGTGTCATTCTGTCTCCATCTTCGGGTTAAGTCTGCAGAACCAGCTGTGGCTGAAGGCTAAGCTGGAAACGTCGTTACTGGGCCCTGCACTGGTCTCCAGGTGAGGCAGCCACGCCTCAACCTGGCTCAGCCACTCACCTGCCAGCATGACACGTTGGCGCTCTGAGCCGCTCGGACCTGCCACCATTTATCTGGGCTGTGGCGTGAAACTCGTCTGTTTTGCTTCCTGGTTGTTTTTCCAGATTCTGTCTACTGTAGCTTAGGCTCTGGTGGCCTTTTGTGTGGCTGAATCATCAACCTGGTTACATCATGGGGAGGTCAAAGGTTGCTAAATTCAGCCACGACCAAATGATCTGTTTTCTGTAAAACATTAAACTCTCACTGACACAGCTGAAACATTCCAGGATTGCAGACAGGATGTGACTCACATCCGCCCTAATCCGGTCCAGGACCAGCTTAAGGTGTGTGTGAGATGAGGGAGTAAAGCCTCGTTGTGTAAATCGGGTGTCCAGTTTTTTTTTTGTTTTTATCCCAGAAGAAGCTGTGTGGGACAAATCCCGGCCCAGGAAGCGGATTGGGAATTTGTCCTTCTGAAGCTTGCCTTTCAGGCGGCGTGGGCTAACGCTAGAGAGCTCAAACTGAAACTTGTCCTGTAGGGCGTCTCTGAACGTCCCATGTCTCTTGTCCCAGCAGGCGAGGGAGACAGAAACATGGATGCCCATGAGCACCACTCAGACTGTCGCCATGGCAACGCAGGACGGCAGCCTGGAAGCATCAGGAGACCCCTCCAATGACTTTGGCTTCACTGATGATGATGAGGATGATGAAGATGAGTATGTGGATGAGGATTACGAGGATCTCTCTGGATCGGGTCAAGGAGGTTGGTTCTGACAGAACCACACACTCGTCGTATTTCTCAAGTTTCCTAACCGCCAACATTTTGTCTTTGCTCCGCAGAAACAAGCGAGTCGACTCTGGGAGAGGCTGTTCCTTCAGAGCAGGTGAGGCCCGTTCAGCTGCCTCTCGGTTCTGATCCACACGGTTCTGGTCCAGTCAGGACTCACTTTGGATGTTCTTGTTTCCTCTGCAGCCTGGTGATGATAACCGAATCCCTGAGCTGAAGGCCACTGTAGGACCAACCCTCGACGAGGTTGAACTCGTCAGAAACAATGAAATCCACCTGGGGAGCAAACCCGGGCCCAACGACGACAACCTGTCCAATGTCCTCATGTCCCAGGCCAAGGGGGACAGCATCTTTAACAAGACTGAGGTCCTTGCAGGTCAGTATGGCTGTGGCAGATCTGAAGCTGATGTGGTCCTGAGTCTGGTTCTGAAGGCTGCGTTTGGGTTTGTTCCAGCTCTGATTGCGGCTGGCGCCGTGGGCCTGATGTTCGCCATGCTCCTCATCCTCCTCCTCATCTACCGCATGAAGAAGAAGGACGAGGGCAGCTACGACCTGGGGAAGAAGCCCATCTACAAGAAGGCCCCCACCACAGAGATCTATGCATAGACGCTGACCTTTGACCCCTGCATGCACACACACACACACACACACACACACACACACACACACACTCTGCTCCTTTAAAAGCCAATCAGGGCCCACGTGTGGCCCAGCAGTGCCTCCTCCCTCATCAACAGTCGCGTTGGAGAAATCGGGAGTGAATCCCCAACGACACACTTGACTGACTCCTCCCCCTGATGTTACTGACCAATCAGAGAGCAGCAGGTGGACTTGTTTCTGCTGCAGTGCACCTCGTTTCTTTTGTTTTAGTCTGGTCTCAACAGAACAGGCCTCTTCTCCTCCAGTTAAACACTAAAGGAATTTATTTATTCTCCTCTTCCTGGATCTGCAGCTCCACGCCGACGTTTGATTTGGTACAGACATTTCATGGTGGAAACCTTTTGGAAAGTGGCCTGCCTCCATTACTTGTAATGTGTTTTTTTTTTTGTTTTGTTTTGTTTGTTCGGACTCAAAGATCCCACAAGCGGGCCGTATTGCTTCCGCTCAGTAAAGATGGTGGTTGTTGTGATTAAAACAGCTTCAGGCATGTTTTGTTCTTCCTGTTTGCAGATTCAGCTCTGACCCGGGTTCAAACTGGACCCACAGAACCAGCTTCTGATGGAAGCGGGTCAGAATTAAACTTACCCTGTTTGCTTCTAATCAGAAGTTCTTTAGGTTTAAAGAGTAAAATCCAGACGTGAGTTCCAGTTTTCATCCTGGAGTCCAAAAGGATCCAGCCGGTGCTAAAATCCATGTTTTTATTTCCTCTTATGAATTCAGGCGTTAGCAGTGAGGCTAAACACTGCTAAGCTAATGCGCGTTGCCCCCCCCCCCCCCCCCCCCCCCCAGCAACATTAATCATGAGGTGACGCTTTTTCTGCTGGGGTTCTGTTCTTTTTGTGTTTGTTTTTGCGTGACGTCGATAAGCTACACGGCTGATCTCGGATCAGTCTTTGGGTGGACGAGCGACTCCGAAGCCCTTCAAACCGGATCAGTCTCACCTTTCTCTGCTCCAGCCAGGATCTGTAAATACTCGGAACGTCGGTACGCTTCCAGGCAGCAGAAATATTTACCAAATATTTAAAAGCCAAATAGGTTCCTGTTTGTTTCCTGCAGTAACGCTCCTGTGACTGACTGTAAATGTAAAGTTTTGATACTAACTCCCCCCCCCATATTAATTTAACTGTCAGATTATTTTATTGCCTTCCTTCAGGTTTGGGTGTTCGGCCCTCTCAGCTGTTGTACATGTGGAAGTTTTCTATACACTAGTTTGAGATTGTCAGACATAGTTGTGAAACTTTTAGTTTTGTAAGAGTTTCTATTCTCTTTTAGCCTTTTTGCTTTTGTATTTATGTTTCATTGTTTTTATTTGTAGAAGGATTGATCTTGTGGCCGGTGTTCATGTCTCTGTGCCATCAGCAGACCTGGACCTGATGTTATAAAAATGAAATGAAATTCTGTTTATTTAAAAAAGTGCTAGCAAGAGTCGCCTCGAGGTACTTCAGAGTCAACGTGAAACAGGAAGTTGTGGTTCTGGTGCCGGGCGGAGGTTTGAACTTTGCAGGATTAATGCCGGAGTGAGATTACCAGTAAACATGAAGGTGGCCCAGGTCTGATCGGTTACCACAGAGAACGTTCTGCTGCTTAATGTCAAACACCACGTGTGACTCGTTGGTTTCTGCTGCAGGTTCTGATTGATTATTTTAAATAAAGTTATTTTTATGCACAAAGTCAGTTTTCCTCATCATTCTGTTTTTATGATTAATGACTTGTGTAGCACCTTTCAGCGTGCCCTTGACCCGTTACCATGTCTGTAAGGGTCTTGCCCAAGGACACAACAGCAGCATTCTCTGGTCGGAGCCGGGTTGAACCTTCAACCTTCTGAGGTCGGCTGACGGGATCCTTCTGGAAGTCCCAAGAACGAGGCGTCAGCTCAGTGGAAGCTGGGGTTCAGACAGCTGCTGATCTTCCAGGAGAGGATGAAACTGCAGGTTTACCCAGAGGTCAAAGGTCAACACTCAGGACAAAACCCAGTTTTGTGCGAGACTGCAGGTTAAAGGTTATGACCGGGTCATTAGAGGTCAACTGAGCTATTAGAACCGAGTCATGAGACTAAACCATGATCCAGAAGCTGCAGGTCCAGTCAGACTCAAGACCAGAACATCTATAAACCCCAGTATATGAAGAGTGGAACCAGAGCTCTTCCAGAACCACGTTTCTGACCGTCAGGTGGACTCGGTTTGTCTGACCTGTAGTTTGGGTTTTGTTAAGTTGTGATGTGTGAATCCAGAGTGTGGACTCGTTTTTCCACCATGTCTGTTTTCTTCAGACTCCAGCAATGGTGGGTGAAAAATCCACCTGAACAAACAACGTCGCCCTCTCTTTGTGTGTGTGTGTGTGTGTGTGTGTGTGTTTACGTGACTGAATGAAACTGGGTGTGAGTGAGGGATGATGTTTGAACTGGAACTCTCCCAGAAATGCAGCATTCAGCCAGGTTTCGCCTGCGGTCCCATATTTCCCGGCAACACAGCGGCTGGCAGGCCACAGTACGCCCTCCAACACACACACTCACACACACACAACTATTTCTGGTGAATCACTGCTCAGTTTAAACTTTTAGATTTAAATTTTGCTGTATTTTATTTGAGTTGGGTTCAGACTCGTTTTTTCTCCTGATCACTTATGATCTGTTAGAGGAATTTCAGTCTGGTTTTAGAGAGTACCACAGCACTGAAACTGCATTAGGGAAACATGTTGTAGGGATCAAAGGAACAGCGCTAGGCTTTTAAACTCTATCTATCTATCTATCTATCTATCTATCTATCTATCTATCTATCTATCTATCTATCTATCTATCTATCTATCTATTCGTTTTTTAGTGTTTTTATCTTTTTTATGTCTTTAATCTATTTTATCTATCTTATCTGTCTATCCTTCCATATTTCTTTATGGCTTTTATCAGTCATTACAGCATCTGCTTTTCTGTGCAAAAGTCCTAACAAATCCATCCATATCTAGGCCTGTTGTTATGGCCTTCTCGTGAGCCAGAATGACTACATTTCTTTTTCTCTCGTGTAGCGTAGTACGGCGGAACGGGGTAAGAACCAGCTCTCGCGTGATGCTGCTGATATTCCAATCACAAGGGAGGTCACATACATGCGATGGAGCTGAGGAAAGGCATTCTTATACCCATGTAGATATTTACAAACGGTGGAGAGGTCTACAAACTCTTCACTGTTATCATCATCAGTCTTTTTGAACTCTTTCTCCAACATTATTTTTGCAACAAGAATCTCGGTGGAAAGTTTGTCACTTCCTGTCATTTTCTGCAGAGGACTTCACATGTCAGGATCCAGAAGAGAGGGAGACTGAGGTTGAAGGCAGTTAACTGCTTTCATGAGATCGAGATTGCTTTTGGAGAATCTTGTCTCCATCTCTACAATGACTAGGTCCAAAATGTTGAGAAGAGCTCTCTTCAGAGCCTGGCTAGGAGTTGTGGAGTCTTCTGCGTGGCCCACAGTGGACATTACAACACTACCTGTTAGCAGTGAGCTTGTTTTTCTTTGTCTTTCAGCAGCTGGTGCAGGTGTGCTGGTTAATGTCTCACTTTCCTCCTCTCTCATCTGCTTCAAAGCCTGCAGAGATGCACTGACTACTTCTGAAGGACAGCACAGGTCAACAGAGTGAGACTGCAGCATAGAATTTGCAGACTTCAAGGAACCCAGAACTTTTAGGAGGAATTTTCCTATTTCAAAGAAGTGATGCCTCTGTACAGATATCAACAGCAGCAGCTCTGTCCTCTGTAACCTCTGACAGGATACTCATAATAGCATCCTGATTCTCCACAAGGCACTTGGTCACATCATGGTGGCTTGTCCACCTGATCTTCAACAGTCGTTTCAGGGAGGGAACGTCATAGTTCTGTGAAACATAATGACGGTGGAAAAATGAGTGTAGAGATCCTGAAAGATCAAAAAAGGTTTTTGCACATGGCTCTGCCTGCATTGCATGGACCACTGCCAAGTGCAGCTGGTGGTTGTAGCAGTGGATGTAGGGAATATCCTTCCCTACCTTCTTCTGCAGTAAGGCCTTAACCCCACCCCTGACCCCACTCATGACAGAAGCTCCATCATAGCACTGACTGATCATTTCAGCTGCATAGCCTAGAGGTGGGAAAAATGATCGATTCTAAGATGCATCGCGATTCAGCCGTGCATGATTCTGCATCGATGCAGCAACGTGACATAATGAGATTTTCTCCCTATGTCTATGTCTATGTGAGGACAATAAAGTTTTGAGGTTTTACAATTACTTCTGGGGGCAGAGTTGCAATGACATGGGCACTGTGTTGCCCTAGCGCCAATTTAAAACAGAAAAGGCGGACAGGGATACAGGGCCAACATTACCGGTAATCAAAGATGTACCCGTTACATTTAATAATGTTTATGTGCTTAGCAGACGCTTTTACCCAAAGCGACTTACAATTTTATTTTATTTTTATTTTATTTTATTTTTTTAACCTATAGGGCTTGTTGTGATCTGTGGGGGAAACCGGAGTACCCGGAGAAAACCCACGCATGCATGGGGAGAACACGCAACTCCACGCAGAAAGGCCGCAGCCGAGTTTCGAACCTGCGACCTTCGTGTTGCGAGGCAACAGTGCTAACCACTGCACCACCATGCAGCCCATTTAAATCAACATTTAAATCAGATGTCTGGGCTAATTTCGGTTTTGGGCTCCTGGATGTGAAAGAATCACTTAACACAGTATTCGTTTACTATTTTTAAGTTCAGTAATATTCTATCTTAAAGCTGCTCTACCGAAAACATTATTTCTTATATTATTTAAGTCATTATAGGCAGCACACTTTAAACATTATTGCTCACTATAGTGAATAGATGAATGTTCTGTTTTTCAGGGATTTCAAAATCAAAAAGAAATTGAAAACTATTCTACTGCTTTTATTAAGTAATGAAAATTTTTGTGTGAAGAATCGTGATGCATTTCAGACTCAAATCAAATCTTTAGGCAGATAATCGGAATCGGATCGAATCGTGAGGCAGGTAGAGATGCACACCACCACTATAGTCTGAGCCAGAGAGATGCTCAAGAATTTGGGTGATAATAAATTCAGCATGACTGACTGATTCTCCACATCTGTCCCTAGTTCCATCACTTTTAATGTAAAACCCAGTATGATCTGCTTTGTCATAATTATCTTTGATCTTTTTCAATACCATTTTTGCCAGTGTTGCTAGTATTTCGTTTTGTATGCTATGAGATGTGCATTTAGCATTTTCTGGGATGTGTTTGTTTATTTCATTAAATTTGGAGTCTTTGGCCAGTGTGTAGTCTACCATTTTTAACAACAGTCCTGCAGAGAAATCATCACCACTGGAGCTTTCCACACTAGTTCATTTACTGCTAGAAACTGAACTACTTCTTCAATAGTTTTTACGTAGTATCTGTTTTTCTCGATTTGTGTGGGACTTATTAAATTACCCATTGTTTCCCCTGTGGTCACTCTTTGGGCATTTCAGACCAGGCTTTTTCATTTTTATGTGGCATTGACTTGATGCATGCTTTGTGAATCCCTTATTCTTTTCCAGTGCTGTTTTCCAGTTATTAAATCCTTGTTTTGTGAAAGCCAAATCCCTATCATTGTTCCCCCCAAACTTACGGCATGGGAAACAAAAGCACGCATCCAGCTTTACTGAATATTCCTGCCATGGTCTCTCACGATACCAGAGAGGAGAGCACTTTGACCCTATTTCATCAAATCTTTTCAAATTTGGGATTTCTACATATCATCCCATTTGGAGGGGGGGGGGGGGGGGGGGGGGGCAGTCAGTATTTTTAGGGGTCATTGCCCCTCCTTGCCCATGCCTACATCCGGGCCCACTGCCTGAGTGTTCGTAGACCCGGGTCAGGGAGTTTAAGATTTTTGGCGTCTGCCTGATCAATCCCGGTGGCTGCCTGGTGGGATCTGGGTCCCTGGACTCTACTAGGTCCCCGGCGGGGGTGGTCTCCCCTGGGTCCCGGGCTCGGCCGACTGGAGGGTGGGAGGCTGCGGGGGGGCCTGTGGGCTTGCTGCTGATATCTCCCGGGACTCTGCCGGCTGCTGCTGTGGCCCCCCGAGGCGATCCTCTGCGCCTCTCAAGGAGGGCAGGGGCTTTTCTGGTCGTGGTCTCCCTAAGGTCCCTGCGCTCTGGGGCAGCTCCTGGATCTCTGGGACTTGGAGCTCCCTCCATCTCCTATGCATCTCTGGGGGGCAGATCTGTGGCCCCTCACACTCTCTATTGGACGCTCCTGTAAAGAAACCTTACATATACACATGCGTGTACACACACAGTTGCTCACATGGTGCTCTCATAAGTATGGATTTGGGCACGTTCAACACTTGTCTTAAGGCTGTGGTTGGCACTAAATGCACTGTGAGTTATTATCGTGTTATTTGTTCAGTAAAACAATGTTGATTTTATATTTCTTCATCAAGTTGACGCAGTGATAGCTTGCTCCTGTTGTATTGTTGTGTGTCCCCTTTCTGCAGGTCTAGAAGCAGACTCTTGTTCATCATTGATTGTTTTTGTTATCCGTCCTTGCGGGCCTGCTGGAGAGCTCCACAAGGACAAACAGAGTCGAGCTGTCTTTTCTATTCATCCGTCTGTCGAGACGGAGAACGCAAGCTTGTAATTGGTCAGGACACCGCTGTCGTCTACACCGCCGCCA